GGATCCAATGCCATCCTCTGGGGAGCAGAGGAACACGCAGACAGAACAATCATATAAACAAACAATAAATCTTAAAATTTTTTTGCGTGTGTACAGGCATGTCGGTTTTGATATGTGTGCCATGTGTGGAGGTTAGAGGTTAACCATGGGTGCTGTTTCTCAGGAGTCTTCCACTTGGTTTTCTGAGACAGAATTGGTATAGGAGGTTCTGTCTATGTGTTGCTTTCATTGGTTGAATAAAGAAACTGCCTTGGCCTTTTGATAGGGCAGCATTTAGGTAGGTGGAGTAGACAGAACAGAATGCTGGGAGAAAAGCAGGCAGGCAGAGAGATAGCTGCCATGAAGCCTCCAGGTCAGACATGCTGAATCTTTCTGGGTAAGCCAAGACCTTGTGGTGTTACACAGATTGGTAGAAATGGCTTGAATCAGGATGTGAGAGTTAGCCAATAAGAGGCTAGTAATAATGGACCAGGCAGTAATTCAATTAATACAGTTTCTGTGTGGTTATTTCAGGTGTAAGCTAGCCGGGCGGGACAGAACAAGGGGCCCCGCTCCCTACTACACAGAATCTTTCAGATGTTGTCACCCATGGTGGGTTCCACACACACACATCAAGTAAATCAAGACATCTCTCCACAGATACACCCACAGGCCAATCTGATCTGACAGTCCACCAACTAGACTCCCCTCTCAGGTGACGAACTAGGCTGTGTCACATTGACAGTTTAAGCTATCTAGGACACCATCTCTCCATATGCCCCACCCCCATTCTACAGCAGCAAAGTACTCACAATTCCTGACATGGCATTGGGACTCTACGAGGACTCAGAATGGAAGCACTAAGCCTCTGAATGCCGCAGCTTGGAACTATCAAAACATCATTCCTTTTATGTCCTTCATTCCACATCCCCTTGAGACACCCAAAGTCAGATAGCCCAGTCTCCCCAGAATCCTGTACCACTGCGTTCATGACTTTGCATCCGGTACCATCACTCTTTGCTCTCTGTGGTCCTGGGTCTCTAGAAAGTGACCAGTGCGCACCAGTATTCAACAATAGTCATTGAAAAAAATGAAGGAATGGATGCTAATCCTAATTGACCTAATGCTTTCCTCATCTACATACATACTAACATTAGAACTACACTGACAAAAGTGACAGGCAATTTTGCAGATTCTTTGAGCATTTGATGTACACTACATCTTGAATCTCTTCTCTCCAAGTAGCAATTAACTCATCAAACCTATCCACTTTCTCTCCCGGTCTGGAACAGGACAATGAAAGAGGAAGAGTGGAAATGACCTCAGTGAAATAGGTTTTAAGCTCAGATTCAGAATTCCCAAGACCTGCAGTAACCTCAGACAGTCCAAGCAGCATTATCTGTGGCTTTTGCTACACCCTAGATTATTGAAAGAGCATCCTCTGCTTCTCTACCTTCTGACCTCCGTGTGGTTGCTTCTGTTATCCATCCTCACTCTGCTAATGCTGCCTGACCCCTGATCTCTCCAGTTCTAGCCCATGTAAGCTTTACAGTGCCCTCTGCCCATTTGACACTGCCACCAATGCACACATCAAGTGTGAAGTGGAGTGTGTGTGTGTGTTACATGAGCATTGATGGGGGAGTTCTCTCACAGCAATTTGCTATGACTTCCAAGAAGATGCCAGTGTCTGTAAGTCCATTCTCCCAAGGAGGATAAGACTTGGGATTGAGTTGCAGGCATTTAAGAGATGCTTCAAGTAGCAGAGTCTATTGAAATGAACTTATGCTAGGTCACCAGTGTTCTTGCCTAACACAATGATTGTGCGGGGAAGATTAGGCGCACCTTTTCCAGAATCCTTTTCAGTTACTCTCGACCCTTGCCATGTTAGCAATTAATGAGCAGTTACTGTGTGCTCGGCACTGTCTAACTTGTGTGGGTGTGTGTGCGTGTGTGTGTATGTATGTATATATATACATATATATAATGTACGATATATAATGTACTATATATATATATCATACATAATTTTCGTACATAATTTCAGGCAAAAGAACAGGTCATTGGAATGGGTGAATTTAAGGGCAGGGTGTGAAGGAATGACTAGACCCTTATTGGATGCTAACTTATCATATGAAGGAGAAGGCGAAAGCAGGACCAACTCAACAAAATACATAGATGAATATGAATGACATAGGATTGCAGAAAATAAACCTGGAGCCAAGACAGAGAGAAGTATTAGCCTGGGGGGGTTGAGAATACTGAATTAAACGTGATCGATGAACATGGATACTATTAAAAATTTTAAGTGGATTTCCCTCCAAGTTTCAGAAATAAAATTAATGTGCTTTTGTTGTTGTTTTTAGACATGGTCTCATACAGCCCAGGCGGGACTCACATTCATTTTGTACCTGAGGCTAGCTTTAAACTTTTGATTCTCCTGCCTCTGCCTCACAAGTGCTAATATAGCAAACAGACCAACTTCTGAGACCACACTGACTAAATAAATACATCCAGTTCTTTCTGTATGGTCCTAATGATACCTCTAAAGGGTTTCTTACGATAGTTACATATTGGATCGAGCATTTCCACAGCATCAGTCCTTTGTATAACGTGGAGAGACCATTCAGGCCGTTGGTGAAACCTGCAGTGTTTCCTCCCCATGAGGTCAGCATCCAGCCTGGCTGCAGAGACAGACGGGCCCTTAGCCAGGCACATCTGGCAGTCCTGATCATCATCCAAAGACAACCCATAAGGGGAGTCCCTGATTTGTGTTACTAAGTCTGGCTTGCTTAGGGCCTGAGAGTCAGGCCAATGATATGTGCTGAGCAGTAAGGCCAGGCTCAATTGAAAACGAGAAACCAAAAGACTGGGGTAAATGTCTGTCTCCTCAAAGTAACCAAAGCCCTGTCCATTATCCTCTGTACACCGCCTCTAACCACCTGGTTAGCTGTTTCCCCGTTTACAGACTCCTATCTTTCCTATCTTTAAAAACAAGCCAAGCACCATACAGAACGGCCCCCGTCCGCTTTCTTACTGTCTTTTCTCCACTTGTGTTGATTTAGTTTTTTTTTATCATAGAAGACATTTTAATACATTTATTAAAAATCAATACCAAACAGTGAGATATTTACAATTTCATCATTTTAAATATGATAGATTTACATCATATCCATGTTAGATACTTTACTTCAAACCACTGAAAAAATATTGGAAGGCCATTTTATTTACTCATTGGGCAAAATATGACATATGTCTTAAACATAAACAGATCAAATGAAATACATCTATGTAAGTCTTTAAAAATTATTAGTATAATGATTTAGTTTTTATTAGAAGCTGATGTGTTTACTTCATGAGAATGAGTGGTCTGCACCTTCTGCGTCCATGTTTTTGCCTCTGACACACCTCAAGCCACCTCTCTGGTTTCTTTCCACCTCTATTCAAACCGTCCTCAAAAGGTCCCCAGCGACCTCCCAGTCAGCATAATAAACGGGCCCGTCTCCTCCAGCAGCTCGCTTATCCTCTGTGCTATTTACCCAGACACCCCCTTTCCTCTAGAAATGCTTTTTAACTCTGGCTCCTACAACACTGAACTTCTTCTACGTGACCCCAAGAGTTTGGGGGCCTGTCTCCAAACTCGGCAGTTGCTTCTCCCCTTCGACACACTCCTGGACCCTGTAGACAGATGTCATCCGAATCTCTACATCCTGCCTTAACCAAGAGCCCACCAGATATGACCCACAGAAACCTCAACACACCCAAAACTCATTCACAGTCTTATCTGCAAACCTGCCAATTCTTCACAGACTTCCTAACCTTTCCCCAATGCTGACAATCCTGCTACTTTATCTAGAAACCAAGGAATCAGATTTCAATCACCATCTTCCTACCTACTTGCCTCCTCTGAGCAAGACGTCTGAGACCATGTCTTCTCTCTCCTGATGAAAGTCCCACAGTGAGGGTCCTGGTCCAGCCTCACTCCCCAATCCACCTACTCTACACTGGCCACCACTCTGTGTAAACCAACTACGATCATGTTACTTCCCAGCTCAACTTCTTTCCATGGCTTTCATAATCGTAACTTCTCCCGATTCTCTCCTCTACTCATGACCACCCTGAGCCCACGGGGAGACTGGACCATCCCGCCTTTGAACTTTTAGGGCTTTGGTAGCCTGTCAAGAGATGTGGCCTAGGAAACACTCTACAGGTACCTATAATGGGCGTGACGTGATTCTTAGAAGCACATCATTCACCTGATAATGGTACATTATCAGGCCATGACAGCAAAGGCAAAAGGCCTAGGTTAATTTTGCAGCAGAAGAGAAGGTGAGCCTACAGGAAAGGTGAGGGGTGGGAGTAGGGGACAGGAGAATTAAGAGATGCAAAAAGAAAAAGTGAGGGGTGTGTGTGTGTGTATGGTGGAGGGGGATTAAGAGACGCAGAAAGGAAATGCACTCGTAAAGAAATGGCTAAGTACAGCGAACAAAGTAAACACTCCACAGAAAGTCTACAGACTGCGCCCGGGGTCACTGGAAGCCTGCATTAAAACAATTTCCACAGCGCAAGCCAGGGAAACCGATGCCTGGAAAACCCACCTTGTACAGAGGGGAGAAACGGCAAAGAGGGTAGTCCCCAAGTCAGAACTGTCCTCTGCGCGACGGCGTGCAGGCCACAGCCGCGGCAGCGGACCTTCTAAGGAAGGTCTGTTCTAATGATGGAAGGAAGGAGCAGCATTCATTCATCCGTCGGGACAATTCGGAAAAGAGTGAATTCTCTTATTTACCTCTCACCAAGATGTTATCAAGAGTCTCGCTCCCAGAATGTCTTTGAAAGAAGTCAGCTGATTTCCAAATAAAACAACGGCGAACCCACGTTCTAGACCTACGGACCTGTATCAAGAAATCACCAGAAGCTGCTGTCCAGCGTGTCGCCAGAATCGAAAACAAGTGACTGGTCAGGCTAAGTCTTTTCCCCCAAAGCTGTTGGCCCATGAAGCCCCCACATAGAGAAGCTTAACGGCTATGAGCACTGGGCCATGGGTCCATGTTCAAAACCCCGACTGTGTCATCCTGTCGGTGAAGACTGGCCTTGACTCCAATGAAGCAGGCCGCCCTAGGTGGGTCACACTGCATTCATTGTTAAGGGCAGACCTGGGGCAAAACCCTAAGGAGGTCGCTAGCTCTTTCCAGCAGTCTAGTGACCAGGCAGAGTCTACCGCGCGGCCATCCCCAGGCCTCGGGAGCCTTTTGTCGTCCCCCTAGCCCCCCCCCCCCACTCACCAGAGAGTACCCACAGAAGTGGCCCGTGGGTGGGGGGCGGTCGGGAACGGGGAGGGGGGTGTAGCCCGTGGGGGGTGGGCGCGGGCAGGAGGGAAGAGGGGCGGCCGAGTAGTGATTGGCTGGGCTACACCAGGCAGCTCCCGGCCAAGAACAAAAGAGAGCAGGCGGCGGGCGTCCTCGGAGTAGGCGCTCCCACCCGCCGGGCACCGACTCCGCTGCTGCGGGAGGACGCGCCCACCACCAAGCCGGCCGAGCGAGCCAGCGAGCCAGGCGGCGCGCGCGGTTTCTCCGCGAAAGCCGGCCGTGCACCTAGG